CCACCTCAACACCTCTAGCACTTGCCCACACCACCCCCCATGGAGCACACAATGCAGAAAGCAGGTCTGGACTGTTCTGTACTTGTGCTCAGAGGTGGCCTGGAAGACTGTTAACAGGTCTGAATCTGAAGTCCTGAAGTCCAGGAAGCCCCGCCCCCTGTCCACAGTGCTTTGGTGGGGTAGAGCCAGCTCTTACAGTTCCTGTGTGATTTGGGCCCCAGCTTCCCCACCCATGAAGCAGGGACAACAGCTCCCTTTGGAAGACCCAATGTGTGTGATGGGGAGCTGGTGGGGATGGGATTCGTGGCTGATTGCCTCACCAAGGCCAGTCTCTTCATGTCCTACAGGCACAGGGCAAGGCCTGCCTCCATTCCTCCTGTTCCAGAGCAAAGGCAGGTGCCCAGCCCATGGGCATTACCTCTCTTTCCCATGGGCTAGGGGCGGTACTAGGGACCAGCCAGGCGGGTCCCGCGGACAGGGCTGGGGCAGTCTCTGGAGGCCCCCCGCAGTGACCACCCCCCTGAGGCCGCAGGAAATGGCCTGGCCAAGCTCGCGGCCAGGGGCGGCAGTGCTGGTTTCCCTTCAGACCTGTTTCCTTTATCCGGTTGTTTTGCTCCAAACTCACCAAGCTTAGCTTCCCCTCCCCTCCATTTCCACCTCCCGCCTCCGGTCCAGAAAGGAGCAGGACGGATATTTGACGTTTTACAGCCCCCAACGGGCTGCAAGTGCCCCACCCAGCAGCTCGGCTCACAGGGAGCCATGTCCAGTGCCCCGCGCGCGCCCCCTGCCGCCCGCGCCCAGGTGTGGAGGGAAGCTCAAATCCCTTGGCCCTGCCACGGAGGAGCATACCATGGGTGGCCCAGGGCCCCACAGCCTGACCAGCGAAAGACTCAGACCCGTAGCACCAACTCCATTTATTGAGGCCTCGCTCGGTGCTTGAGGGCGGGCCACCTCCGGGACCCGCCATGGCTCGCTTCTCCAAGTCCCGGGCCCTCGGAGAGGGCGGGCTGGTTGAGAGAGCAGAAGAGGCTGCCATCGGGACATCAATCAAACGAGGCTTGTTCCCTGATTCCGCCGCGGATCCCCAAGTTTTTTGCTGGGTCGGGGGGCAGGGCGGGCCGACTAGGATTCCCCGGTGGCCGTGGCGCGTAGCGCGAAGAGTTTCTCCCAGCAGGTGGCGACGGTATCCAGGGCACGTAGCAGGAGCCGCCTCCGACCACCGCGGCGCCTGACAGGACGCATCCTGGGCCGCCGGCTCTGCTGTCCAAGACCCATGCTCAGTGAAGGCACCCTGACCATGCGCCCGCCCAGTGGGCCGGAAGTGAGCCTCCAGCTGGGAGAGCCATGGACCGAAGGGCAGCTCTGTGGCGGGGAGGGGCATGCACTAGGGACACACACCTGGCGAGGCTTCCAGCAGTGGCGCCTCATCACCGCCTCGGTGCGTAGGGCCACAGTCCATGCAGCTTTCTCCAGGGAACCACGGCGGCCCCCAGTCACTGCCCGGCGCAGAGTCTGGCCCAGGGACTCGATAGACAGAAGGATACTGTGCTCCTGGGGAGGGAAGGAAAGCTGGGGCCAGGGAGTCCTAGGGGAGGTCCCGAGGGAAGGTGTAGGTGGGCGAGGGAAGGTGGATGGGGTACACCTACTCCATACCTTCTGGGCACCGCAGGAGACACTAGGTCGTCTCCGCCCTCCGCCCATTCCAGTTAGGTTTTTCTCAAGGAGATGGTGGTATCCAGAGCCTGGCTCTGGCCCCAACTTTCTCACTGCCGCCTGCAGATCCTCGAAGATGACTGCGCGATAGTGGCGGAGCACCTCTGGGACGCTGCAGGCACTGGGCCTAGCCCAGTCAGGAACCAACCACAGCAGTGCCAGCAGGAGGGCGCAGAGTGTGGGCTTGGAGGGCACCTGGAGGGGACACCAGGTCTGGGCTTGGGATGTGAGCCTATGGAGTGCCTTCCAGTACAAGGGGCATCCTTTTAGGCACTTTGGGCTACCAGAGAAGATGTACCCCTGCCCCAATCTGAGCTGGTATAAAACAGATGTCATTGTCCAACAAAGCCTCTGGACACAGGTCTGAAAGGATAAGTCCCTGTCTCAAGGATGGAGAAACTAGACAGGCCTGCAAACCAGACAGCTCTGTGCAAAGACCTTGGGGTATATGTGGGGTGGGGTGGGGCACCTTCCACTGATCCCTGAAGGACCAAGAAAATAAAGGAGCTATTCCAAAACAGGGCCAGACGCTGTGGTTATCTGGGAAAGATAGACGATGATGGACCCCCTGCAAGGCTGGAGGGCAGGGTCTAGGGGCTCTGCACAGCAGGGGCACAGCCTCACTCCTGGCCAGGGTCAGGACCATATCCACCAGCTACAATCTACCACTTGGATCAGGCTTTCCTCTTGCCAAGTCCCCCACCTCATCCCCTCTGGATGCCCACAGAATAGGCACCACTTGAAGCTCTGCCATCCCAGAGGGTGGAGTAGAACCACTCTGCCCTGTGTGACGGGGTGGCTCCCACCCTCTACCCATGGCTGTGCTTTAACCAGCTCACAGAGCCATGAGAACTAGGGTCCTCACACGCACACCCCAAGTCAACCTAGAGAGAGGCAGACTCAGAGCTGCAAACTACACCTCATTGGAAAGGGAAAGGCTAGAGAAACCCCCAAAGATGATGGAGAGAAAGGGAACCACCATATCATACTGCAAGCAGTCAGCCAACAGGTCCCTTCCTACCCAGAACAGGGGTGGGGGTGGGAACTGGCTCTCAGGGGAAACCCAAGCATCAAGAAGACAATCCACGGTTCCCAGGCCCTCAGGCTAGAGTCAGGGCTAGAGTCAAGACAGCCGACCCGGGCTGGAAAATTAATCATGTGAACCCAGCCGGACCACAGGACTCGACTCTGCTTCCCAGCCCCAGCAGGGGAGTCTGACTGCATGTACCCAAACTTCAGCTAAAGCGGGGGGGGGGGGGGGGGGGGGGGGGGGGGGGGGGGGGGGGGGGGGCTCCTATACACAGCACCAAGCAGGAATCAGAAGAGCAGACAGTTCACTGTGCCCTTTCCTGAGGCCCACCACACACCATGGTCAACTGTTTGAGGGCTTAAACCTTCTATGGACTGCAGTCACAGTGCAGCACATCCAATTCAGGACAGGCCAGTGGGAAGTGCTGGAAGGACAGGCTGGCTACCCAGGGAGTTGCAGGCTTAGCCTAGCATGGGAAGAAAGGGTTCCAGGAAGGCTGTGGTGCATGCACTCAAAAGCTGGTCCCAATGCTGTGAGCTGCTGGGAACCACTAGTGGCTTCTTCCAGGGCCAATGCGCACTCCAGCCCCCCCCGCCTACACCAGCCACCCCCATGCCCAGCTGCTCACCATTGGTCAATCAGGGTCTTGCCCTCCCTCACTCCCTCCAGCCGACCACGCACATGGTCCTGGGTCTATGGTGGTAAATGCAGCTGGCACTTGGCAGTTGCTCCAGGTCCAACACCAGCCTACGGGGCTCCCTGGACAGGACTGCCTTGCTGCAGGGCAGGCGGAGAGGCTTTTGAAGTTGGCTCCTCCAGCAGAGGAGGGAGGAGACAGGCGGAGGGAAAGAGAGGCCCACAGCCAACCTGCCCCTCCCTCTCCCAGCCTCTACCCCGCTGCTTCAGTCAGTCTGGCCCTGGAGCCCACTGTGGCCTGTCCCGCAGGCCAGGGTGCTCAGAGACTGAGGGTATTGGTTTGACCCACAGGGAGTTGTCAGCCCCAGGGAGACTTTGCACTTCGTCAAGGAGTGAGGGTGCTTAGTGAGCAGGGCCCAGCTGTGGGCAAGGCTGACTGGGGTCCCCCTCAGTGGTCACCAAGTGCTGCCCCTCCCAGGAACTGGCTGACAGAATCTGATGTGCAGGACTCAACTCCCTGCCCCATGACTACAAGCCCCTGTACCAACTCCCAGGAAGTCCTGCCCCCGCAGGTCAAGATCTGGGATTTCCCAGACTCCCATGCTGCTGGCCCAGCCTGCTCCTCCTGGACTGAAGGGGCCTCTCATGGGCAGGGGCTGCTGCTCTGCCTCTGGAACATGGCTTACCTTCAGTCTGGGCTAAAAACCTTCAGCTGAAGAAAAGGTACATTAAGCCTCCCAGGGAGGGAAGCTGGTGACACGCGAGAAAGCCATCCCCTTGCAGATGAGAAGATGCACCTCGGGACATGCAGGTGTTCTGGAACCTTCCAAGGGCCTTGTATGTAGTTTCATGCCAATCACTCTTCCCCGGAAGAACCAAAGGGACAGGCCACTCAAAGTAGAGGCCACCTTGCCCCTTCCCACCAATAAAGGAGGCTGCTTACAGTGAATCCAAGGCTGCTTCTGAAGTTCCCAGCAAGACAAGAAGAAGCTCTGTGGCCACCCCTCAGGACAGGGCAGCAACAACTGACCACAACTTCACAGGTCACAGGTCAGCTGGCACATCCATATGACTGCCTGGTACCAAACAACCAGCATCTCTGGTTCCACCCTGAAGATGCTGAAGATGGTCCCTGCCTGCTATCTTCGAGTTGGGCCCATGGCTTCCACAGCACGGCCTCATCCACCCCAGATGCCCACAGTTGAAGCTGAGGTCCTGTGGCCAGCACTCCTTAGGGCTCCCTGTTCTCACCTGGGAGGAGGGGGAGAGGCACCCCAAGCCAGCAGGGCCCTGTCTGCAGGAAGGCTGAGCTGTGTTGTGACTACCACTGCAGGCCTTGCTACAGGCACAAGAGATGTGGAGCCCCCTGGGGTGCACCACTTAAGACTGGAGAACAGCTGTTCTACAGGAAGTAGGTGTCAGAGGCTGTCCTTCACCATCCCCAGAGGCACTTTATCTTCTTGCTGGGCCAATGTGGAAGACTGTCCATTGCCCTCCAGAACAGCCATTTTCTCTAGCCAGCCACCTGGCATGGGCTACACACCACTCCTGAGAGCTATTTCTCAACTGAATGCGCACATGTGTGCGCACGCGCGCGCACACACACACACACACACATAGATTCAAGGTCCAAGAATTTTTTTTATCCCCACAGAGCAGAAAGGCTGAAAGAAGTCATGTCTCTGCAATACAAAATTCCATCTAACAATGAGGACAGGCACAGTGCTTCAGGATAAAACTGCTAATCATGAACTAGCAAAAGCAAGACAAGCTCCTATGGGGGACATCTCCACAGGGCCTGGCCAGCACGGAGAGGCCTGGGCACAGGCAGGTTCTGCTGGGTACACTCAGCACTCCAGGAGGCCCCAGCTGGGAAAGTCTCTGACCATATGGATGTGACCATGGGGGCTCCTGTAAGTGTTTTCCCCTACTCACAGCTCAGTCCCTATGTGGCCTCCAACCTGTGCTACAGACTGGTGACCGAGTGTCTCCACTTTTTCCAGAGTCTTGACTCCACTACCTTCTCCACAAAACCTCAACAAGCCCTGGCACCCCACTATGCTTCCTCTGTAGGATACAGGTGTCTGCAAGAGGCCTTGCCCCAACCAGAAGAACTAGGACCACCCCGTACCTGTGTGGGAGGCTGGTGGGGCTGCAAAAGCACAAGACAGCAGGTCCCACCCTTACCCACGACATGAAGATCTTTAATGAACGTTGGGCAGAGAGTCAACCCTGCCCATGTATATCCATGAGCCACCTATGGTCCCACCCCTGCCCCAGACTGGGTCATCAGAAGGTGTTCTTGATGCGGGCAGCCACCAGCACCAGGATCTCTCCAATCTTCCTCTGCCAGTTGGCGATGTCCTTGGACACGGTGCACCACAGCTCCCCATGCCGGGGCTCTGCGTTTTCACAGCGCTTCCTCACCTCCTCCTGCTGCTCCTGCAGAAGGGACCACAAAGCACTCAGGCGTGGCTTCTCCTGGGACGTCTCAAGCCTTGCCTGTCCAACACCTACCCCCTTTGCAGACTTGGTCCCAGCTTGTGGGCAGGGCAGGTACCCATGTGGCTCCAGGATAAGCAGGGTGAGCCTTCAGCTGGGCCCCTCAAGACAGCCTCTCCCCACTGTTAGAAGCCCAGACCCAGCCAACGTGGTTGTGTGCCGACCTAAGTCAGGCTCCTGGTCCACTGTCTGAATAAGGCACTCACTAGATTCAAAGCAGTCTGCCTGCTACCTCTGGGGAAGACCCCAGGACACCCTGGTGACTACCCCATGGATATGGCTCTGATAAGGCTTGGCTGGGGAGGGGCTGCTGTCTAGGCTCCCCTGGAATACCACCCCTGGATTAGGCCCAAGAGGACAAACCAATTCCAGTCTCATTTCTAAGGAGACTCCAAACCCCATCAATCACTAAACAACTCAAAATATGCTAACAGGGCCAATCTTAGTGGCACATGCCTATGATGGGGTGGGAAGACCAAGTTCCAGGCCAACCTCAGCAACTTAGCAAGACTCTCAGCAACATATCTCAAAATAAAAAATAAAGAATGGGGAATGTAGCTCTGTGGTAAACTGCCCTTGGGCTTAATCCCCAGAACCAAAACAAAACAAAATAACAGACCACTTAAAATGAACCAAGCAAATAAATTTCAGGCTATAATAAGAAAACAACTGTGATCAGTTAATCACTGTGCCCCAACCCTATTCTCCAGACCCAGGACTGAGGGGTGCTGGCGGAGCTCCCTATAGTACCAGAAGGTTGGGGACAGACAAGAAGGCATGGCACACTGGTTGGCTTGTGTGGCCTCACCTCAGTGCCATGCTGCAGCTCGAACTTGTAGAAGAAGGCCCAAGCGTCCCCCAGGTCGGAGTCAATCTTCACCGTGCGGTGGAACCACTCCCGAGCCTTGGTGATCTTCCGCTCACTCCAGAAGAGCCTGTGGCAGGAGGGCAGGAGGACTCAGAGGGAGGGTACACCCCAGCGCAGGCAGTGACTGGCAGTGTGACCCCAGGCTCCCCTACCCATCTGCACCCACATTGGCATATGCCGTGGGAAGGCCTGAGCAGTGGTCCTGGACTGCCTAGGCAGCATCTGGGTCATCAACCACAACTGTCCTGAAGCATCTAATCACACTGCTCCTTCAACACTCCCAACTCTTGAAAACTTCCTTTCCTCCAGGTCAAACAAAGAAGAAGTGTCAGGATGACTGGGAAAACTGTCATCTCAGACGGATATCTGCTGCCTGTCCAGCTCCAGGCAGCAAACTAAGCAAATACTATGAAGGCAGGCTTCCAGACTCCTGCTGGGGCTGTAGCTCCCAGCCCCAGGACTACAGCACAGTGGCTGCTGTGTCTGCCAGGCATGCAGACACCAAGAGCCAGGCCGAACAGGGTCCACACACGTGGATCCTCAAAAGCCAGATCAGGGTCTTCATGAGCATCCTCCTCCTTCCCACTGGTGCAGGGCATGCTAGATGGTGGGCACTCTGGCAGGCCCAGGACTCGGGGCTGCTCCCACCACCCCTCAGCTTAGCACCCCACAACACAGGCACCAAGCAGCTGCCAGCACAGTGGCCTCCACTCCACTACCGTCTGGGCCAGTTTCAGGTACCATACGGAGTAACTTCACATTGATAACCTGATTGTTTTTTAAGCCGTGTGGCACTCTTAATTGCTTGGTGTTAGATAAACTGTGATTTAAAGAGTGCAAACTCAGATATCAGAACAGCAAGGAGTGACTTATTTACTTTAGCAAAGCCTTTATAAGGTTTTTATGGCTGCCCTATCTGAGGGCCACATATAAGTCACTCTGGGAGGAGGAAGCCCAGGCAGGTACTAGCCAGGCTTTGAGAAGCCTCCGTTGTCAGCAGGGGCCCAGGAGCTGAAGAGGGGCACAGGTAAAGGGCCGCCACATCAGACCCTGGAGACCGTTGCCACCTGGAGCAGAGTAAAGGCCAGTCCCAAGAAGGCTCTGCCTCTAAGCATCACTACAGGGTTGAAGAAGGCTGGGGATATAGCTCAGTTGGTAGAGTGCTTGCCTTGCATATACAAGGCTCTTGGATCCCCAGAACCAAAAAAAACAAACCAGGGTTGGAGAACACAAAACACCTCCCTGGGGCAGCTATAATCCTCCCTGAAGACCCTCTTCAGTCCCATCTGCACAGTCACCTGCTGGCCTTTCTGCCACACCCAGCCCAATCCTTTCTAGAAGGAAGCAGAGAGCCTATGGGGTCAGGATGGCTCTCAAGGCACAGCACATTCTGACCAAAACCTGGTGCCATCATCCTGAGGTCCTTCAGGCTCCAGTCGCCTCCCAGGCGCAGCCTCTGACCTAGCACCACATACCAGCGTCGACCACGTGTTGAGGTCCCTCCCTGACTCCTTCTTCCCCTGAAGACCATGTGCTCTGAGAGGTTGTCTCTAGTCAGTCACCTCCACGCTCTTAGGCTTGCAGACTGGACTGGGGTTGATCCCAGGACCATAGAGCCACAAGTGCACGATTTCTTGCTCTGACATAATGAAGCCCCTTAAGCCAAAGGGTGGACCAACGCTAGCAGATGTGTCTCTGCTGAGTGACTCAGGCCACATGCAGTACAGCCCACAGGACACCCAGGACTGCAGGAGAACTCAAGCAACCAGAAGGCCCAGGAGAAGGACTGACCTGGACAGAAGTCCAGGTGACTGGACAGTGCACGCTGTGGGACTCTGCCAGGAGACACACTGCCCCAGAAGACAGAAGCAAAAGCTTCCCAGCTGAGGACCAGGATGGCCCACCCTGCTGCCTGCTCATTTGGCACAGCTAGGGAGAGGCAGCCGTGCCGCCAAGGCCCCACTGGCACCCAAGGCCAGTAACCCAAAAGGACACCCACTCACTTGGCCACAGCCAGCAGCACATGGGGGTCATGCTCACACTTCTTCAGGGCGTCCACACTCTTGGTCTTCCTCTGGGGCCTTGCCTCCAGGAAGACGGCTTCTGACCACAGAATCCCTGAAGTTTGAGAGAGAGACGCCTCAGCCTTGCCTGTGGTTACAGAAGCACATCTGCCTGCCCCACACAGGCCACGTGAGGGCCCTCAGGGCCAGCCACAAAGGCTGAGCTTCCATCTGCCACAGCCACCCTGCACAGCAGCAGCCTGGACACCCCTCTACCCGCAGGGGGAGATGGCCAGAAGCATCAACCACTGCCAAGACTCCAGTCCTGCAGACTCTGCAACTGCACACCTAAGGGTTTATTATAACAAGACAATCAAAAATCCTAGTAAAGGTTCACACAGGAGGGCTGGGATTGTGGCTCAGAGGTAGAAGGCTCATCTAGCATGTGCGAGACGCTGGGTTTGATCCTCAGAGCCACACAGAAAATAAATAAATAAAATAAAGGTATTGAGTTCAACTACAACTAAAAACGTTAAAATTAAAAAACTTAAACAAAAAGGGCTAGGATGGAGCCCAGTGGTAGAGCACCCCTGGGTTCAGTTCCCAGTACCACAAGGGAAAAATAACAACAACAACAAAAACTAAAGATGACCTAAGCAACCAACAAATGACCAAGAACTGAGGGTATGTTACCGAAATTTGCATTCTTGAACATTCAACAAGAACCAAAAATTCTCACAAAACTTTCAGCTTTATAAAGGTAAAACAGGCCAGGTGCAGTGGCGTATGCCTATAATCCCAGCTACTTGGAGGCTGAGGCAGGAGGATCACAAATTTCAGGCCAGCCTCAGCAACTTAGTGAGACCCTATCTTAAAATTACAAAGTGGTTGGGGTGTAGCTCAGTGGTAGAGCATTTGCCTAGCATGTGCTAGACCCCGAGTCTGATTCCAGCATCATCACCAGAAAAAGAAAAAGAAAAAGGTAAAATACTCAATACCCAATATGACTTTAGTTGTACACCATCATAGAGGTTGTAATCCTACAAACAAGTAAGAGTAGGGATTCCTGATTAGACTAGTGGACCTGGAGGTGATTTCTAGTTTCTCCTTTTAGCTCCAAATTTCTTTTTTTTTTTTTTTCTTGGTACTGGGGATTGAACCCAGGGATACTTTACTGCTAAGCCACAGCCCTAGCCCTTTTTATTTTTTCAAACAGGGTCTTGCTAAGTCCTTAGGTCCTCACTAAGTAGCCCAGGCTGGCTCTGAACTTTCAATCCTCCTGTTGCAGCCTCCTAGGCTGCTACGATGACAGGCATGTGCTACCAGACCCAGCTCCAAATTTCTTTATGCCGCATATGTATTCCTTATATGCTTGGAGTAAAATGATAAAAGTTAAAATCTTTTTTGCTTGAACCCAGGGGTGCTCTACCACTGAATCCTAGCCCTCCTTTGATTGTATTGAGACTCAAACTTGTGATTCTCCTGTCTCAGCTCCTGTGTCTATGGGATCACAGGCATGCACCACCGCACCCAACAGTAAGTTAAATCCTGAAAGAAAAATAAACGGCAGCACTTCAGAACATGAAATCAAACTCTTCCATGTTGAGACTGGGAATTCAGTCCAAACATCTTAATTACCAAGTCCAGAGAAACTTGAACAAAGTAAGCCATATACAGGCCCCGAGAGCCAGCCAGGAGCCCCTTACCAGAACTGGGGCACTCCTGCAGCGCCTTGGCCATGAGTGTGTTGGCAATGTTCTTCAGCCCTGCTCGATACTCCAGCCGCACAGACTCCAACCTGAAGAGACAAGCCCAGGGACATCCAAGCCCCATCTACCTGCAGCACAAACCCCTGCTGGCCCCTGGAGGCTCAGGAACAGCAGCAGCTGCAGGGCAGAGCTCATCCACAAGAGGTGGCTGTCCCTGCCGAGCCCTGGATTCCCACTGCTCCAGATGAAGTGAAGATGCAGGATAGGACAAAGACTAGGGAGTGTGTGCCCACCCTGGGTCCTTTCAGGTTTCTCACACTGAGCAGAGCCCTGCAGCTCTCCAGACAGGACACCACCCTTCCCCTGGCAAACCCTCGCCTGTGTCCCCTCTTCTGTGCAGTGTGCTTGCTCAGCTCCACTCCCCAGCCCATCACTAACCCCTGGCTCCCTGGGCACCCTCTATCAGAGCACGTTAAACAGCACCCATAGGCCGGTCCTGCTGTCTAGGCCCACTGTGAGAACAGCCCTCTAAAGGGCAAGCTGGTCAACAGCCAACACTCACCACAGCCCAGGATTTTTGGGGTTCTTCAGGCGAGACTTCTCCAAAATGGCCCGAGCTCGGGTCAGCTGCCCAATCTTCTCCTCCAGCCGGGAGAGCAAGAGCCACAGGGGTGTGGAATGAGGGCACTTTTTCAACTGTGGCCAACAAACCAAGCAAGAGAGACGCTCAGACGGTGTCCGGGAAGGACTGCAAAATAGCAGAGGCGTGCTCCACCTGACAGAACCTCACAGCTGTGTCCAGAGATGGCACCTCACGCTCCCCGAGGGTTTTATAGACATGCTGAGGGGTTACAGACATACACGTGTATGGGGTGTGTGGGAGATGTACAGGTGTGTTCAGAGCATGTGTTCTACATTTGTGGTTGTGTTATGCACACGGGGGCACATGTACTACATGTTCTGTGCACTGCACCCCACAGGTCCTGGGCACAGGGTGTGTAGCTCTGCAGAGGTAAAAGCACTAAATTCAGAGCGGGGACCAGTGCTTGGTCCTGAGCCTACAATCCCACCAACTGGGGCCTGAGTGAGTCACTGACCACCAGCCCTCCAATTCTCCCTGGAGGTGGGGGCGACAGCCAGTATCAGGTGCTGGCTCCATGAGGCAGGCCAGCTGCAGCCCAGGTGTCCCAGCAGAGGCTCACCCCCTGGTTGTAGGCCTCCCGAGCCTTCTCCATCAGCTCTCCCTGCTCCTCGATCTGCCCTTTCATCATCCACAGCTTGGGGAAGTCCTCGTAGTGCTTCAGGGCTTCCTCACAGAGCTCCTGGGCAGCTGCAATGTTCCCTAGCACCCACTCCAGCTTCACAGACTTCATGAACACCTGTGAGCAGACATGTGTGAGTCACAGTGAAGACACTCCCGGGACACTCCCTGCACACTGTGGCTCATCCCTCTATGTCTATCCTGAGGGATGTGATGTGCCTTGTAAACTGAGTCACAGCAGGGGAGTTAAGAAGCATAGCTACACAGGACTGGGCTGCAGCCTGGGCTCTCCTCCTCTCCCTCTTCACTGACATGCAAGCCAGGTGCCAGGTCCATGCCTGCACATGCAGCATCCCAATGGCCCCACCCTGCCTGCCCATCACTACGCACACGGGCCGTAGGTGCACTGCTCCGCGCCTTGGCCAACAGCCTGCGGGCCCGCTCATACTCGTTGTTCTCAGACTCCAGCTTCACAGCCGCCAGCCAGATCTCCTCACTATTGGGGTTGGCCTATGGGGCAAGCACAGCATGTCAAGATGGGTTCAGAACCAGTGGCAGGGCTGGTGCACACATAATTAAAGACGGCCTGGGATGGGGCCAGGCCTTGCTCTGCTGCAGGACTGGTAGGTCCAAGCCCTTCCCAGGCAAGGCAAGGGCAGTAGACTCCAGGCAAGAACTGAGCTCACCTGAAAGCACATGCTCCACCTTTATTCTGTGCAGAGGAAGGCCCCACAGCACTGAAGCAATGCTAAAGGCTTCAGAGGCACATCCAGGATCCACCCGAATCCTTCACAGCCCTCTCACACTCTTGAGTAGGTCATTCACATTCTGCATGTGTGAACCTACTACACATGACCTTACTTTTCCTTCTTTCTGTTGCCCTAGTGTGTTCACGTGAGCAGACAGAGGTGCAGGGTGCCTTGAGTTGCGTGGAGAGGGCCCCCCAACAATCCAGAGTCTAATGGACATGCAAACTGTGACTTCGATGTGTCCTTAGAGCTGGTAGCCAGACAAAGTCTAACCAGCAAGAGTCAAGTGACACCTGACAAGCAGCCCCCAAGACAGGCAAGGAAAGCCACCTTGGGGCTTCTGGCATGCAACAGTGTGAGGTGGTGGGCAGTAGTCACCAGGTGGTAGGGAGGACACTGCCTCTTTTGCGTTCTCTCCAGGAGGCAGCTGGGATAAGTGTTAACCCAGCCAGGCCCTCTGGTGGAAGGACACACTTTTTGGGGGCAGCCTGGGCTGCAAGAGTGCATGGCATTTTCATGGAACTCCATGGTTTACTAAGAAGTGTGCTGTAAAACCATCTAATACCCTGTTGTCACTAGGATGTTATACATGACAACAAAAATAAAAACATACTTAAAAATACTGCACACCACACGGCAGCTGGATGGTCAGACTGGCAAGAGCAGAAATTTCAACAGGGTTCCCCTCAGATGGGGCCTTGGGGCTTCCACAGAGCCCATATGTGACCCTGTGTTCTAGGATCTGAAACATCAACCTGTGGTCACACTGAGTAATAGGGACAGGAGGTAAGAGTTCCCCAGTTGGGCTTCACGCTCACAGGGCCCCTCAGGGCATCTAGATCATGGCCTGTCCATCCCAAAACACATACATGGGAAGTACTCAGGCACCAGCCAGCAGAGGTTGGGGTCTGCCACACAGGTGACCCCTCACATACCTGAAAGGCCAAGGCCAAGATGCTCCGCGCTGCAGGCACATCCCCTGCCAGCCATTTGGACTTGGCGCCCATAAGCCACAGTACCTCGGCCTTGGGGCAGTGGGCCACGGCTCTCTGCAGGAGCGCCTCCAGAGACTCCCTGAAAGACAGAGATCAGGATCACCAGAGCCAGGGCCATAAACCAGAGCACATAGGCACTCACAGACACAGCACAGGCAGCAAAAAGACAGTTACTACTCCAAAGTTCGGCACTATAAATGATTTACCAGAGTTTACAACGGGGAGAGTGTGGGGAAATCTTTCCTCTCTATAAAGGTTCTAAATCCAACTACTGAAGAGGGCTCCACAAAGCATGCATTGTTTGAACAGCAGGGCCTTTTACAGTGTGTGGCCTGGAGGCAGTGATAACTCCCCGTCAGGTGACAGGGAAGGCCTTTCACCTCGAACAGGAGGACACGCTGGATTCACTGACAAGAGTCTACTCTTCTGGCCTTATTACAAAAAAGTGATTTTTAGGTGCCTCCTGAACAAGAACACTTCTAGCACTGAGTACCTCTCCTTGGTCTGCTGCCTCTGGGTCACATCCCCTTTACCAATGACCCCTGCGGGGTTCAGCAGCAGGTCACAGTAAACATACAAAGCCACACTGTGTGAGGCCTGAGGGCAAGGCCATGCCCCACTAGAACTCCCACCCCAGCATCACTGCCCTCCCATCCTTCTGACTGGACACCCTGGAAAAAGCCCCTGAAGCCCATTGGACTTGGCGCCCATACGCCACAGCACCTCAGCCTTGGGGCAGTGGACCTGGAGGACCAAGTGCACCTGAGCACCAAGCGGGCAGCTGTGTATGCTCAGGCCATGGGGGCCAAGAGGTCTCAGCCCACAACTACCCTGCCCAGGTGACCTACAATGTGAGTCATCAGGATCATTTCAAAATGTCCCATGGCCCTGAAGGGGTTAACTCTGAAACACCAAAACAGCTGGCAGTGCTGGGAGGGAGCTCCAGCAGTACAGGAAAGGGCCCTGAAGAGACTGACACTCAACAATGCCAGAACAGAGAAGAAACAAGGGCTGAGCCCTTGCATTGCAACTTTACTGAGGCAGCCAAGCACAACCCCAGCACCGGGGCAGAGGCCCCAGGAAGAGATGGATGGAGGGTCCCTGGGGACAGGAGCCTGATGCCCTGGGGCACTACCCCATTTAAAACAAGAAACTGCGATGCCTAATTTAATCAGCACTTCCAGGCAATAAGGCAGACCCAAAAGGTTTTTTTAATTAAAGAGTACAATTAAAGAAAATTGTCAAGGACCTCCTCTGAGCACAAACCAGCCCAAACCCAGAGCCAGCACAGCTTAAGTGAAACCAGCCTGCGTGGACGAGACACAGCTGCACCACTGCTGCACCAACGGTGCTGGCTTCAGCTTCCAGACAGCACCTCAGGACAAGCCTCCTCCAAGCCTTGGTTTCTCAACTCTATGATCCTATTTCAGATGGAACCATAAAAATCAGTCCAACTGCAAAGTCCCATAAAGCTCCTGTCCTCGTCACACACACCACCCCCATCAGGCCCCTCACCCAAAAGGAAGCACTCCTGGGTCTCCAGTGCCATACAGAGAGGAGCCAGGGGTTCAGTCAGTGCCAGGGGCAGGTGGATCACCTCGTACCTGGTGCCATGGTTTTTCTCGAAGTATGCAGCTCGCAGCCATACGCTCTTTTTGCTGGGGAACACTTGCAGGGCGTAGGCGTAGATGGCCCGTGCGCACTCCAGGGCATTGTGGGCCACACACTAGAACAGAGAGATGGACATGAGGGTGCTGACACCTGCCCAGCCTCCATGATTCTCCAGATTCTAGATGACATCTGCTAGAAAGTCCATAGCAGGCCAACTAGTCAGAAATGTGATCTGAGAGGGACAGCAGAGATGGACACTAGCGCTGAAGCCAGCTGGGAGCTGCCTATGAGGGCACCAGTCACCATATGGCACACGCACGCGCCATAGCTGCACATCGCCAGCATTAGTTTCCTTTTTTAAGATTAAGGTAAATATTTTCCTTTATAAAAGTGACACTGAAAACCTGAAGACAACGATGAGAGGGAAGAGGAAGGAAAGCTCCCACTCCAACAGAACCACTGTGCAGCCTGCTTCCAGGTATTCCCACGCTCAGGAGCTTTTCTTTCTTGGGTAGATTCAAACAACAGAACTGAGTGAGAGCCTAGCCATCACCTGCAGTGACAGAGTACCCAGCAGCCAGCTGAATGCATCTGCCGCTGTGGCCGTGACAACCAGACTCACTGCACAGGCGCAGACATCTGTCCTCTAGCAACTGCACACAGGACCACGGGAACCATCCCCAAGAGAAATCACTGCCTTCCATACCATGCAGACATCCAAGGAACCCTTGTACCAAGAAGGGATTAAAATCTGGAGGTGAGTAAAAGGCCACTAGGGAGAAGGGACAAGGACAAAGTTTTTCAGCCATGAATGCCAAAATGCCACAGGGGAGGTACCTGGCCATACAAGATCCCTTCCCAGATGGACAGCTGCCCTTCCAGAGAAAGGACACTCAGTGTGTGGAAATGGGAGGGGACAAGGAGCAGATGTGACCTCCTCTGTCATGGAGTCTCCCTCTGACTCAACCTCCACAGAAATCAGGGAGAGACCTGCCTTGCATGCTGTGTCAGACATGGACAGAGCAAGCCTGTCTCCCCTGTCTCCCCTGTGACTGCTGTCCAAAGCAGATGGGGCCGGTGACAAGGCTTTCACATCCTCCACCACCTTGTCTGATCTTGGCGGGGAGGGGGTGTGAGAGGTACCGGGGATTGAAGTCAGGAGTACTCAACAAGTGAGCCACATCCCCAGCCCTATTTTGTATTTTATTTAGAGACAGGGTCTCACTGAATTGCTTAGTACCTCACCACTGCTAAGGCTGGCTTTAAACTCGCGATCCTCCTGCCTCAGCCTCTCCAGCCGCTGGGATTACAGGCATGTGCCATTGTGCCCGGCTCCTTGTCTGATCTTACAACTGTCTGCAGAACGGCTGGGACACCCCACAGGATCAATTAGGTGTCCAGGGTCTTGGGGTGGATGAGCCAGTCCCAGGGTGGGGAGGACACTAGAGAACACTCCCTACTTCTAGTACAAGAGAAACTTCAGTTCTGACTCTTACATCACAAAGTGTTGAAAAGTAACTGTACTTACTCTAGTCAAGATAGGCATCACCTGCAGTGACATCCACCAAGGGCCTCTGAAGTGGTCAAAAGCCATAAGGAGAAGGATAAAGGGGGAAAGCATTATGACTCTATGTCCAGAATAAAGAGGGCTGGACACCAGGTACTGGATTCTTTCATTTAACCAAGGAATTTTCACTCAATACAGAGACTACAAAAGTTTGTTAAATTAGTCTTTTTTTGAACATAGGGATGCTTAACCACTGAACTACATCCCCAGCCCTTTCTAATTTATTTTGGCACTAAATTACTGCCAGCCTTGGAACTTGCAATCCTCCTGCCTCAGCCTCCTGGGTCACTTTGATTACAGGCATTGTGCTCGGATTAAATTAGTCTTTTTTTTTAATATTTATTTTTTAGTTTTCGGCGGACACAACATCTTTGTTTGTATGTGGTGCTGAGGATCGAACCCGGGCCGCACACATGCCAGGCAAGCGCGCTACCGCTTGAGCCACATCCCCAGCCCTTAAATTAGTCTTTATACTTTATTTATTTATTTATTTGGTGCTGGGATCAAAGGCAATGCTTGGTACATGCACACGCCCTATCACTGACCTGCAACCACAGCTCCAACATGATAAAAAATCTTCTGAAAGACCATCACCACTAACCTAGGTTTCAACTTCCATATGCAGGTCAACAAGCCAGTGCCTGTGCTCTGGGTCATGCCACACTGGGACCTGAAAATACAGGCTCAGAGGCTTCAGAGATGCTGGCCTTGGAGCATGACCCCACAGGCTGGGGAAAAGTCCTTAGCCTGCCCAGATGGAAAGGGATAAGCACTCACATAGCAAAGTGTGGGAAGCTGCTCTCCATGACTACATAGCAGCAGCTCACAACATGTACAACAAATAGTATTAAGGAAACCAATTATTTGCCTGGGCTGTGGCACACACCTGTGATCCCAGTAACCGGGGAAGCTAAGGCAGGAGGATCTCAAGTTCCAGGCCAGCCTGGGCAACTTAGACACTCTCAAAATAAAAATGTGTTTTAAAGAAGTAGGGGGTATAGCTCAGTGGAAGAGTCACCCTGAATTCAATCCCCAGAACTGTCCTCTCCCGCCAACTCACACCCAGCCAAATTGATTATCTAGCAAACACTACATAGAAACAAATGATTTGGCCAAAATTGCCATTATCAGCTCCTGAAAATAATGGGTCAAAGTCTGGGGAGAACAGGGTATTCACACAGTCTCAAGGTTTCTCCTCACAAATGCTTACTAGTCCCAAAGGAAAAAAGAGCAGCCACAGAGAGGAGAGACCTGGCACCATGCCCTGAACCAGCTGGTCAGTGAGCACAAGGAGACCTGACGTCCCTGCCAGGCACAGGACCTCAACCCAGCCATGAGCAAATAGTGCAGAGACCCAGGTCAAAGAAGGACCTATGACACTGCAGCCTGTAATCAAGATTCAGACTTGAAACACACAGACAGACCAGGCCTGGTCCAGACTGGCCTGAGCACATGGCCCTGAACAGTTCTAAGCAGAACATAGTTGCCTCTTTCTTTTGCCTGGTGAGATATGAGCCAGGTCTATAGGGTAGGCAACAGCACACATGCTGTGCTGTGCCACAGTGTTGAGGAGCAAAGGACTGCACGTCTGCACAAGCTTCCCTAGCAGTTCAGGAGCAGCAGCACAGTGCAGGCGTGTGCCCCTGAATGAGGAGATCAAGGCACACTGGCAGAGTGGTAACTTGGGGGAGTGAGGCGAGGGGCATGGAAGAACTCTTTGCAGTTTTGCAACATTAAAGTACATCTGATATTATTATTTCCGAATGAAAAGCTAAAAACAGAGGGCCATGTCTGTATTAATACTTTATATATATATATATATATATATATATATATATATATTTTTTTGTTGTTGTTGTTGTTGTTGTTGTTACTACTGAGAATTAAACCCAGGGATGCTCTACCACTTTTTATTTTATTCTGAGACAGGGTCTTGCTAAGGCTGGCCTTAAACACGCTTATCAATTTGGCCCTATGATCTTTCTTCTGGAAACTTGTTCTGAGGAAAATAATCCCAAAGGAGGCAAAACTCTGTATTTGGAATGTTTTGAAATGAAACATGCAGCAGAAACCAGGGAATGGGAAGCACCTGATGTCACTGAGGTAGTCAGCTAAGGGCACTGCAGCCAACATGCTGCCACCTGCTGTGTGACACTAGGTGACACACTGGGTTCCTTAGCCACTTAGCCTCATTAGCTCTTCACCTGTGATCCCAGCAACTCAGGAGTCTGAGGCAGGTGGATGCAAATTCCAGGCCAGGCAGCAAATCAATGAGACCCTATCCCAAAATAAAAAGGGCTGGGGATGTTGCTCGATGGTAGAGGGCCCTTGGGTTCAATCCCCAGTGCCTCCCACCCATACACACAAAAACGCTCTTCACAGAAATTCAGGTTCACAGGAAATCCTTCCGTTCAACTGCAACTACATTTACAATGAGAATGTCAAAAAGACTTTTGGAACTGCCTATTAGTCCTAGGGCCTGATGTCACTCTCAGAGGCTCCAGGTCTTGTACAAACACCTGCAGGCCACACTCACACTGTCAGCGTCTTCCATCCAGGTGTGCTTCCGATCTTCTTCCTCGATCCCGATTCCAATCACAGCGCGCATGACTGCCTGGCAGGTGGCCACGCTCCCTGCCCTGTCGCACTCCTCAGCATCCTGAAAAAGACACAGAAATTCTGTTTTTTGAATTCTGAAGTCAATTCGCCTGAAAAGGAGCACGTTATTGCTGGGCGGTGGTGTCACAAGGCATAGCTCAGGGCTCGGACTAAACACCACGTCTGCCCTGTTTCCTAAGCACCTGTCCTTGCCACCTACCATACAATAAATACTGAATGAGGTGTGGGGGTAGGAATGATAGTAGAATGAATTGGAAATTATTACCCTGTGTGCATATATGATTACATACATCTGTGTAACTCTATATCATGTACAACCAGACAAATGAGAAGCTATACTTCATGTATGTACAATGTGTCAAAATGCATTCAAATGCCATGAGCAACTAATTAGAACTAATAAAAAATATTTAAAAAATAAATAAATACCGAAATGACTGAATGCAAGCATACTCATCCATGCAATGAACTTTAAGTGAGCACTTACTATGCACAAGCAATTATATTAGGCCATTCAGTGGCTATAGGTTTCCTATACTAAGGAAACTTTCAAAGTAGGAAGAGTGAAAGACAAGTTCAAAATAACTGTATTTGTTGGGCTGGAACTCAAGGCAAAAGAAGGAAATGTTTTGACCCAGCCAGGCAAATATGACTGGCAGGGAGCCAGGTGCATAGGGGGTGTGACAGAACACCCAGGGGGCAGGGGCAACCAATCACAGAGCCTTCTACCAGGTAGACCAACATCAGAAAAGAACTCCTGCTTCAGGAAAGCAAATCTTTTTTTTTTTTTTTAATATTTATTTTTTAGTTGTAGTTGGACACAAGCCCTTATTTTTCTTTTATTTGTTTTTTTTTTTTTTTTAAAGAGAGAGAGAGAGAGAGAATTTTAATTTTTAATCTTTTTTTTTTCTTTTAGTTTTCGGCAGAAACAACATCTTTGTTGTATGTGGTGCTGAGGATCAAACCTGGGCCGCTCGCATCGCGCTACCGCTTGAGCCACATCCCCAGCCCTCTTTTATTTGTTTTTATGTGGTGCCGAGGATCGCACGTGTAAGGCTAGCCCTCTAGCGCTGAGCCACAACCCCAGCCCAAAGAAAGCAGATCTTAGGATGTGCAGAAAGAAACCAACCAAGCTTCATAGCAGGAGACACAAAAATGATGACTGAAGATTTGAGATGATAAAATAAGTACCTTCATATTAATTAAAAAACAGAACATTGATGCAGCAACACAGTGAAACCCTGTCACATTAAAAAAGGCTGCAACTCAAGATGTAGGTGCTGGCTGAGGATGTAGCTCAGTGTCAGAGCACCCCTAGGCTCAATCCCTAGTACCACAAAAAAAGAAAAAGAAAAAAATCCCTTGATTCAATAAAGAAACACTGCAAAGGACATAGACACCAAAAAATAAAAACGAAAACAAATTTATTTATTTATTTATTATTTTTTTTTTTAATATTTATTTATTTTTTTAGTTCTCGGCGGACAAAACATCTTTGTTTGTATGTGGTGCTGAGGATCGAACCCGGGCCGCACGCATGACAGGCGAGCGCGCTACCACTTGAGCCACAGCCCCAGCCCACGAAAACAAATTTAAACAACTGGAAAAGAAATCCAAAGTCCATCTTACTTTTTTTTTTTTTTTAAACTACTGGGGATTGAACCCAGGGGCACTATCACTGAGCCATATCCCCAGACCTCTTTTATATTTTTTTGGAGACAGGGTCTCGCTGAATTGCTTAGGGCCTCACCAAGTTGCCAAGGCTGGCTTTAAACTTAGGATCTTCCTGCCTCAGCCTCCTGAGCCACTGGGATTACAGGCATGTGCCACCATGCCTGACCATTCTCACTCTGATGAGAATTTTAGCATCTTTTTGGGATGAGTAACACTGAGGTGTGTGCTGGCTGGCTCACTTGGTGAATGCAGGTACATACCTCACACTACTCCGCACACACAATGACCTCTACAGCTAGCAACTTCACACCCTCCATCAAAATAAAGCATATGCACTTGACCTGCACCTCCACTTCCAGGGGTCCACCTAACAAGCATGTCCCTTTGTGCACAGCACACTTTCACAACATGGCTTGCAAGTAGAAAGCCGCAGGAGTCACCCCCACATGTACCCTGACAGGTGACAGCACACCTGAGGGCTCCTGGCACTAAACAACATTCCAAGCAATGGGCAAGCACAGAAAAGTCTAGAAAAGGGCTAAGGACTAAACTGCCAGCACTTATTATAAACTGAAAAGAAAAGGGAAACCAACAAAGGTGGTGGAGGAAGGTCCAGCAAGACAAAAAGAAAAACCAAGGAAGAGAAGGGAGCACACAGCATTTGTGAAAGAAAGCCCCCTGGCTCAGGTCAGGGATGACCATAAGTGGCATCTCTAAGATTTTTAGGAGTATGGTGCCTAGAAGCTGCACTTGAAGGAGATATCACAATACAACAAGCAATTAAAGTCTGGCACATAGTAGGAAGTTGGTAATGGTGACCACTGCTCAGGAGGCAAGTCACCTGGATGTCACAGCACTCCCTGCAGGGCACTGTGGAAACACAGCGACCCAAAATGACTGGGTAGGAAAGGCAGCCAGTGAGGAGAGTAGGACATGCACAGCCAAGCTCAAGCCAAGTTTCCCTGCACCCTGGCACAGGCTCAGGGTTCTCCCTCACCTTATATAGCATTCTTCTCAGCCAGGTGGAGAACGCAAGCTAGTAGAGCAAATGGGACTCACTGTTGGCCAAGGAAGTGCACCAGAGGGGGACTGGGGAACCCTGGCTTGGCTCGGCTCCATGTACCACCACCACCAGGACTGCAATGAGGACCTCACAGAACTGGCAGAGTGAGCCCTCAGGAGGGCCAGAACCAGCCCTCATGGTGCCCTGGGGCTGGGAAAGCACTGCAACTGTTAGCGTAGGTAGACCCTCTCCCAACACAAGCAGACAACCAGGACAAAACATAGAAGCAGTGGCTGGAGCCACACGTGGTGAGGACTGAGACACAGGAAAAGGCTGAGGGTGCTGCATGGTGCCCAAGCCCACTGTCTGGGAATTTCTAGGCCACAGATCAAAGGGACTCCCTGAGCAGAGGTGGTGGAGAGTCCAGGGAAAACAGGGAGGACAGAGCATCCAGTACCAAATATTAGGATACACAGCAGAATCCCAGAGCTCTGCCCTGTAGGGAGAACCCATGAGTCTAACCAGGGCACCACCATCCAAAAAGAACCACTGGAAGGATTAACAAGAGCAACCCTGGGACCACACACAGGGCCCCAACCAGTGCCTACTGTACCCAGCCACACTAAAATATCTCAAGAGGCATAAAGCACTGGGAGAAGACACAGAGAGGGCCAGGCTTGGTGGGGCAGTCAGCCCAAGGCTAAATACCCCTTGGGTCCTGAATTACAACACGTAAAAGCAAAACCTGAAGAATCGAAGTCACTCCCAGTGATAAAGCTGCACTCCAACACCAAGCTCTAGAGTATTTAAAAGAAATGTAAATATGTCTAGGGTCCAGCAAGGTCAGCCTCACAATATTTAGCAACAAACCAGGCGTGCGTAATTCCACAACAAGAAGGGGAAGATCCATCAAAACTAAGCCATATGACAGCTGTCAGAAGCAGCAGACAAGGATGCTGAAACATGCACTGTGACTACACTCCATGTGTCCAGAATCAGGCAGAGACATGAAAGAAAAGACTAAAACTAAATTTCTAGAAATGGACACCAAAAGATCCAAGATGAAAAATACACCTTAAAAAATAAAGAGTAGGTTAGACACTATCGAAAAAAAAGGTAAGTGATCTTAAAGAAATAGAGAAACTAGACGGGTTCGGTGGCACACACCTATAATCCCAGCAGCTTGGGAGACTAAGGTAGGAGGATCATGAGTTCAAAGCCGGCCTCGGCAATTTAGCCAGGCCCTAAGAAACTCAGTGAGACCCTATCTCTAAATAAAATATAATAAAGGCTGGGGATATGGCTCAGTGATTGAGTACCCCTGAGTTAGAAAGAAAGAAAGGGAGAGAGGGGAGGGGGGAGGGAGAACTGGGGCTGGGCATGGTGGTGCATGCCTATAATCCCAGCAAGATGAGAGGTTGAGGCAGGAGGATTGCAAGTTCAAGTTTTTTTAGTCTCAGCAACTTAGTGAAGCCCTAAGCAACTTAGTGAGACTCTGTCTCAAAATTAAGAAAAAAAAAAAAAAAAAAAGAGGTTGAGTATGTTGCTCAGTGGTAAAGTGCCCCTGCTTTAAACTATCAGTATGGTGCACATGCACACACATTATCAACAACTTGAAAATAAAACTTAAAAATAATTCCACTTAAAATAGCAACCAAAAATAATAAAATAGGGCTCAGGGGTGGAGTTGGCACACACAAAGACCTGGGCTTAATACCCAGTACTGCAACAAAAGTAAAACACTTAGAAATGAGTTTAACAAAAGAAGTGCAAGATTTGCATACTGAAACACTGCTGAAAAATTTTAAAGACCTAAAAAAATAGAAGATATCTCACCCACACAGATAAGACAACTAAATATTAAGATGACAACATTCCTCAAATTGATCAAATTGAATCGATGCCCTATCAAAATGCCAGCTGTTTTTTTGGCAGATCCTAAAATTCATATAGAATTTACTTACAAAGAAGTAAGCATAGTCAAAACTGTTTGGAAAAGGAGAAGACAGGACTAACACTTCCCAACTTCAAAACAGATACAGCTGCATTTGTCAGAACAGTGTGGTACTGCAGAAAGACATGCAGACCAGCATAGAAGATCCAAGTCCAGAACGAACCCTCACAATGACGATCCACAGATTTTCAACAAGCATGCCAAGACCATTCAGAGGGGTAAGAAGAATCAGTGGTGCTGGGACAACTAGATGTGCACACACCAAAGAATGAGGTGAGTCCCCACCTCATATCATGTGCAAGCACTAACTTAAAACCAGCCCCTGGGGCTGGGGTTGTGGCTCAGTGATAGAGAGCTCGCCTAGCATGTGCCAGGCCCTGGGTTCCATCCTCAGCATCACACATAAAAATAAATAAAATAAAATAAAGATTTAAAAAAAAAACAGCCACAGTCCTACACAATGAAACTTCAAAAAATACAGGAGCAAATGTTAACAGCACTGAGTCAGGGTAAAATTCTGATATGACACCTGAAGCATGATCACAAAAAGAAGATCAATTTGATGTATAATTTTAACAAGCAAAATTAAAAACATTTATGCTATATGCAATATAGTCAAGAAAGTGAAAAGACAACACACAGAATGTGAGAAAGCATTTGTATATCATCTATCTGATAAGGGATTTATATCCAGAATATACATAAAGAACTTAGGGCTTCAATGTGGCTCAGTGGTAAGCACTTGCCTAGCATTCACAAGGCCCTGGGTTCAATCCCCAGCACCACGATGGTGCACACCTGTAATCCAAGCGGCTTGGGAGCCTGAAACAGGAAGATTGTGAGTTCAAAGCCAGCCTCAGCAAAAGTGAGATGCCAAGCAACTCAGTGAGACCCTGTCTCTAAATAAAATACAAAATAAGGCTGGGGATGTGGTTCAGTAGTCAAGTGTCCCTGAATTCAATCCCTGATACCCACCCTCAAAAAAAAAAACCACTCGATACAACATAGTAATAAAACAGCAGACAACAGTAACAACTGAAACAATCCAATTTAAAAAGGTAAAAATTTTAAAGGTGAAAGAGCTGGGTGCAGTGGCACATGCCTGTAATCCCAGTAGCTTAGGAGGCCGAGGTAGGAGAATCACAAGTTCAAAGCCAGCCTCAGCAACTTAGTAAGACACTAAGCAACTTAACGAGAACCTGTCTCTAAGCAAAAAATAAAGGGCTGGGGATGTAGCTCAGTGGTTAAGCACTTCTGGGTTCAATCTTTGGTTATAAAAAATAAAAATAATAATAAGATAAAAGGTAAACGATTTCAGTACATCTATAGTACAACATGGAAGTCCCATACCAAGTGAAAGCCAAGTTTCAGAAGACCATACACTGTATACTCCATTTACCTCTAATTTCCAGAGAGAGGAAAGTAGAAAGGGAAAAGGTAGAAAACCAAGTCTTCAAAGGAAAAAAAAAGAGCTTGCTTAGGGAGGGCAGGGAATCAGGGATGGCTGGCTGATGGGCACAGCATCTCCTCACTAGTAACAGGAGAATATCAAGATTACAGTGAGGGCTGAAAAGCCAGGAACATACTAAAAACTGCCCAACAGTATACTTTATTTATTTTGTGGTGCTGTGAATTGAACCCAGGGGCATTCTACCACAGTGCTCCCCACCCCCCTTTTTTTGGGTGCTGGAAATCACTCATGCTAGGCAAGTACTCTACCACTAAGCTACAAGCCCCACCACCTTTCTTATTTTATTTTGATACAGGGTCTTACTAAGTCCCCCAGGCTTCCCTTGAACTTGTGGTCCTTCTGCCTCAGTCACCTGAGTCACTGGGATTGTTAGAAATACCAAGGTGTCACAAGAAATCAGACATGTGCTGGGCATAGGGTACATGCCTGTAATCCCAGTGGCTTGGGAGGCTGAGACAGGAAGATTGTGAGTTCAAAGCCAGCCTCAGCAAAAAAGGTGCCAAGCAACTCAGTGAGACCTTCTCTCTAAATTAAAATACAAAATAGGGCTAGGGATGTGGCTCAGTGGTAACGTGCCCCTAAATTCAATCCCTGGTGCTCCTACCCCCTCCCCGCCCAAAAAAAAGAAATCAGACACTTGAAAGTGGGTGGGCAAGGCATTTACTCCTGCTAGAAGAGCGTGAATGGAACCTGGTGGGCAGCTTTCATCCCCGACACACTGCTGTTTGGAGGAGCTCAGGGGTAGGTACAATCTACATGATTAGCTAATTTTAAAATTGGGATAACAAAGATAAGGACTAGTAATTAAAATGGTTATAACTAGATCCAACTAAAGTTAAATGCTATATTCTGAAAATGGACCACCAAACTTTCTATTTCTCACAAGATTAGAGATGTGCCACCACAGCTGACTTGATTTATACACTGTAAAAGAGTGAATTTTATCCAATATTAATCATACCTTAATCTGGGAAATGCTTGATGAACTTCAAGCATAAGAAACATGAAGAACACTACACTAAGGCCTGTCACAATCAAAATCAGATGGAAAAAATCTTAAACACTGCCAGAATTCAAAACAAGACAACAACACACTGCTCACTGGAATAGTGTAGCTGAGAAGACAGTGAGATGCATCCTTGAAGCACTGGAGAAAGAGGTATCACCCTGACTTCTACACCAACCATGAATATCCTTCAAAGACAAAGGTGCAATAAAGACTGTTTCCAGACACACAAAAGCAGAAAAAATTTCCGTAGGCAGACCTACACTAAACAAACATTAAATGCAGGCAGGAGAAAATTACACCTGCTGGAGACCTGCACACAGAGAAGCACAGAAAAGTCTCAGAAACAGCAGCAACAAGGTTGCAGGACCAAAGGAGCCTGGGCTGAAGGGTTAAGTTCAGAGAGGCATACAATCTGAGGTCTTGCACCTGAGTTTTTCTTTTTCTTTCTTTCTTTCTTTTTTGCAGTGCTGGGGATTGAACCCAGGGCTTTGACATGCTAGGTAAGCACAATACCATTGAGCCATAACCCCAACCCTGCATCTTAGAATAAAAAAAAAAAGTAACAAGGCCTCAAGGAAAGGGGCACAAGTAGTCCCATCTACTTTGGAGGCTGAGGCAGGAGGGTCATGAGTTCCTGATCAGCCTGGACAACTTAACAATTGTCTCAAAAAGACCTGGGGATGTGGCTCAGTGGTAAAGTGCTTGCCTAGCAAGAGTAAGGGTCCAGGTTCAACACCTAATACCTCTCCCCATAAAACTGCCAAACACAGAAAGGAGCCACATGGCCGAATAACATCCTATGAAACAAAGGACAGGTGCTGAGTGAGAGGAGGGTCATGAGACCTAGGAACACATTGGGGCAGAGTTGACACAATCTCCCCAGGAGTCTCACAGAGGAAAGGAATAGCACACTCTTGAGCATCTGGAGCAGCAGCCGGCTACAGATGACCAGTGAGTAGCCATTTGCCTGTGGCACAGAAGGCAGGCTACAAAGCAGTGTGAGCACTTTCCAGCACAGAAGGGCCCTCCTGACAGGACACGGCTCTGGGGAGTTAGGGTACAGGGCCATTACAAAGCACTTCTGCTCAGTAGAGCCAAACAGCAGAAGCCTCATTTGCTTGTGGCTCCTTGGAGGGGACAACGGAAGACCACGCCCTAGGGGTGATCTAGATGAGCTTCAGAGGATTCTCCAGCCCCAAGTCTACAGGTAAGTGGAACATCCCCTACCCTATGTGCGGCCTCAGCCTGGGGAACACATCTGCTTTCATGTGAACACAGGACACAGGGTAGCCTACCTGAATCCACTGCTCACGGTTGATCTCTACACCATTGGCCCGCAGTGAGGTGATGGCTCGGTCGATGATCTTCTCCACCATTTGTGTGTTCCCATTGGCCTCCTCAAGCTTGGCAGCTGTGATCCAGATGTGCCGGTCTGTAGGAATGTTCTCCCGTGCTTTGTTTAAGACCTTGCGGGCATTTTCATAAGTCTCCAGCCTCGCGAGAGCAAGCCAGAGCTAGAGAGGATATCAGAAAGAGGACAGTATGCTGACAGCCACTAGCATGGAGCACTACCCTCCAGACCTGGGATAAGCCAACTTCAAGGACCCCATAGCACCTGCTTTCTCAAAACTAAACTGGGCACACTGGCAGATGCCTGCAATCTCAGCTACCTGGGAGGCCAAGGCAGGAGACCAGCTTGAGCAAGTTGGTGAGATCTTGACTCAGAATAAAAATTTTCAAAGGGATGGGGATGCAGCTCAGTGGAAGATCATTTGCCTAGCATGTGCAAGACCCTGGGTTCAATCCCTACTATTGAGGGGGAAAAAAATCTTTAAGGACCATTTAAACAAGAGCCCAGAAAATGTTTACAGCAACATTTCTCATCAATTGACCATTTGGTTGTGCTTCTGACTCAGCGACTGGTACACGAAAAGTTGATGGCACTCTTGATCAGAGGTCCTAAGCCCTGGATAAACGTATAGAGTATGTCAGCCTGACATCAGATGGTGGGGCAGTAGGTGAGTAGGGTGGGTTGGAGGAGAGATGGCTGCTCAGCCTTCTGGAATTCTCATCCTAGATCTGTTAATTCTGCATCACTCCATCCCAAAATGTGTATGGGCTCTATTTATTTTTATGTCAATAAAATAAGATTAATTGCAGAATTTCACAATGTCCCTTAGAATAATTAAAGACATACTGGATATCATAAAACCAAGACAAAAATCACTGCACAGAATGCTGTGAATTGCAATGCTTCAACTAAAGAAATCCCACCAGCCATGAGGTGAGGAGATGAGCCACGAGGGGCTGGCAGAACAGCACACTGCTTTGCATACCTGCCACCCTTCAGTTCCCACCTATAAACTCTGAGGTGCATTAGAAGTAATATCCCTGAAAGAGTGCCCAGTGCAATTTTCTGTAGTGGTCTGGGGTGAGCAAAGATTTAGTTCTGCATGCCCATTCCCCAATTCATGCACCCACTCCTGCTCTGCACTTCTGTCAGCATATGCCTAACTGAAGCCACCTACCACCCTGCCTGGCAGCTGTGCAAAGAAACTGGGTTTCACCCTGCCTTCTACGCCAGAAATCAGAGCCCAGGTGAGACCTTGCTCCTTGTGGGTTGCTGCAGACACTGAAAGGCTTGGGTCTTCCTGAGCCCAGCACACTTACCTCCACACTGGTGGGGCAGCACTCTACAGCTCGGCTGAGCATGATCCTAGCATCTTCTGGCTCTTCCAGTTCAACAGCCGCTTTCCACAAGCGAACCGAGTTTGGAACATGCTCAAGGGCTGGGAAAGGCAAACATGAAAGCAGGTCACAGAAAGGGGAAACAAAAGCAAGAGGTTCATGCAGAAGCATGCTGCTTCCAGCAAAAGCTGAACTCCCCTGGTCACAGCCAAGGGCTACAGATCTCAGCCAAGTCAGGTCACAAGACAAATAGAGCACCTGAGCACCCCAGAAAGCAAGGGAGTAATCAAAGGCACTGGTCACACTGGCAGGAGTCAGGACACAGGAGGAAGAATGAACCTCAACAACATGCTAGCCAGTACTAGGGCAGCGACACCAGTAGGACCCACTTGCAATGACGATGAGCACAGGTGGAACTGGTCCTGGTGGTAGGTGTCAGAAGGCTGGCTGCGCTGGGTACACTGGCCCACACCTACAGCTTGGGAAGCTGAGCCAGGGGGATAGCGAGTTCAAAGCCAGCCTCAGCAACAGTGAGGTGCTAAGCAACTCAGCAAGACCCTGTCTCTAAATAAAATAATTTAAGGGGCTGGGGATGTGGCTCAAGCGGTAGCACGCTTGCCTGGCACGCATGCGGCCCGGGTTCGATCCTCAGCACCACATACAGACAAAGATGTTGTGTCCACCAAATACTAAAAAATAAATATTAAAATTCTCTCTCTCTCTTTCCCTCTCTCTCACTCTTTCTTTAAAAAAAAAATAATAATTTAAAAAGGCTGGGGGTGTGATTCAGCAGATAAGTGCCCCTGGGTTCAATCCCTGGTATCAAAAAAATAAAGAAGAGTGGCTGCTAGAGATGAGGCAGTAAGCCAGGACAGTCTATAGACCTGGTGGGGGAGGCAATGCCTACATCTTGACAGGGCACAGGAGCATTTGGGAGAACCACAGATGGCACACCTTACTTGCTTAAAAACAATGTTAAAAAATCAAAAAACAACTAGCCTCAGAAAGACCTTAGAATCACATTTTCCCTTAAAACAAAAGTCATGGAACTTTAAAACAAGAGGGAAAAAAAAAATCAAGAGCAAAATAAAACAACGTATAGGATAAAGATGGGATACTCTGAAGGTCACTGAGAACACAGCTGACACCTGTACACTTGTGAGCCAGTCTAAGACCACAACGAATACCTGAAACTGTGGACAGCACCATACCCAACTGTAACCTCTGCAATAATATGCAGCAGGCCCTGATGACAACTAAGTAGCAAACAAGTAGGCGGGATACACAGTTGGAACACTGGAGGCTGGACAGGGGAACGAATGCTGTCCCAGGCAGGAAAGCATGTGATTAAGTCACACCATTAATGAAGCAACTCAAAACCAATAAACTATTTATTTCTGGAATTTTCTATTTATATTTTTGGGCCATAGTTGACCATGTGGGTGACTTAAGCCAGGGAAAGTGACATCAAGGATAAGGGAACACTGTCAAATTGCAGTATTATTCAAGTGCTCAGCATGACAGGCAATGTGCAGGAGCTCAGAGCAGTGCTAAAGTGCTACTCAGACCCATGAAATACAACAATGCTTAAAAAAAAAAAAAGAGACCATTATTCAGGCACCACTGCGGTCCTAAGGTCCTAAGGTCCAAGCTACTCGGGAGGCTGAGCAGAAGGAACTTGAGTTCATGACTAGCCTGGGCAAGTTGTGAGAACCTGTCTCAAAATTAAATAAAATGGCTGAGGATGTGGCTTGGTGGCAGAGCAGTTGCCTAGTATATGAGGCCCTGTCTTCTATTCCCAGCAAACAAACAAACTCTCTCTCTCTCACACACACACACACATACACACACACACACACCACACACACACCCTGATTTTAAATCTTTAGAAAATGAACAAATTTCCCAGTCATCTTGGAGAGCCACTGGTTATTCTGAAAGCTAGCAAACAAAAAGAACAAATTCAGCACCTATTCTTTCTTGAATAAACTCAGAGTAAACAATACTGATAGAAGTTCTCTTTGGAATACTTCTAAAAATACAATCAAAACCAGTAGGAGAGCCAGGCATGGTGGCCCACACCTATAATCCCAGAGGCTCGGGAGCCTGAGGAAGGAGGATGGTGAATTCAAAGCCAGCCTCAGCAAAAGCTAGGCACTAAGTAACTCAGTGAGACCCTATCTCTAAATGAAATACAAAACAGGGCTGGAGAAGTGGCTCAGTGGTCAAGTGCCCCTGAGTTTAATCCTGGGTACCCCTTCCCCGCCAAAAAAAAACAGTAGGAGAGCTGTACTATCACCACTGTGCACACCCTCATGACCTAATGGGCACAGGCACCTGTCAATTGCTGCTCAAAGCAGGAGCCCAATGACTGTGAAGAGCTTCAGGAAGGACACTCAGCTATTGGACCATCTCACCTGTCAACAGGAACAGAGGGCCTGAATGTTTCCTGATGCACTCCAACACTTTTTACAAAGGAAGGCAGAGGGGGAAAATCAAGCTTAATTCTGCAGAGCCTCCAAATGTACCTCCTGATTTCAAGAAGTCTCAAGAAATGACAGATCCACATTAAGCCTCATGGCTGAAGTGAGCGGAACCCACAGGAAAAGCCAGACACCAACCTAGAAAGGACACGTCATTCAAAGGCACCACTCAGGCCTGATTCACACCTACTGTGTGTGTGTGTGTGCCTGTGGCATGTATTGACATGTGGAAAATTTTAGCACTGTGGACACTGAATGAGACAATAAATTATTACTGTTATGTTGTTATGACTCAGAAGTAGCATGGTACTCTGACTGTAAAACATGCCTTCACTTTTTAGAGGAACGTGCTAAAACCTAGGGTTTGTTCTATAAGGGCCAAGTGTATGTTTATTAGAATAGCAGGTGGCACAGACCACACCACAAGGTTCATGCTTCTTGGACATTGGAAATCAGCATTAAAAAGCAAATTGCAGAGCTGGGTTTGTGGCTCAGCAGAAGAGCATTCACCTAGCACGTGCGAGGCCCTGGGGTCGATCCTCAGCACCACATATAAAGGTTTTATATCCAACTACAACTAAAAATAAATTAATTAATATATAAAAAAAAGCAAATCCCAGCCAGGCATATGCCTGTAATCCCAGCCACTCGAGAGGCTGAGACAAGAGAATCATGCGTTCAAAGCCAGCCTCAGCAAAAAAGCAAGAGGTTAAGCAACTCAGTAAGACCCTGTCTCTAAATAAAATGCAAAAAAAAA